AGTTACGAATGCACCGTTGAGTGTAATCGCATCCAGAGAGACCACGTGGAGGTTGTCAAACTTTCTCTCCGCAAAGAGTCACATAGACCCCGGGGGGATCCCAAAGACCCCGGGGGGGGGGGGTCCCAAAGACCCCGGGGGGATCCCATAGACCCCTCGGGTGAACATTGTATAGTTCTATTAATAATATAACTACCTGTAATCGCATCAGAGGACTTCTGGGTACACAATATTCTTGGTGACGAATCGACCATTTCCATCGCAGTACATGCCGACTCTGACGGATTGCGCGTCCCTCACTCTTGAAAACGCAACGTACAGCTGCCCGTGGCTGAAGACGGGAGACGGCAGGAGCAAACCGACTCGGTCAAACGTTTGACCCTGAGATTTGTTGATTGTCATGGCAAACGACAACCGTACTGGGAATTGAATCCGCTTCATTCGAAAAGGCAAATTGTCTTCCTCACCGGAAATCATTGAAATGGCAGGTATAATTATGTCGTCCTGAGGGTCACCGGAGCCGGACAACCTCCTCGCCTTGAAGTTGTGTGGCCGCAGTTCGGTGACCACCAACCTCGTCCCGTTGCACAGTTGTCGGTTCGTATCAATGTTTCTCAGCAACATTACGATCGAACCAACCTTGAGCGTCAACTTGTGCGGCGATAGTCCGTTCGGATGCAGAGCGTTAAGGAACTCTGTCTGGTAGTTTGCCGCTTCGTCGGCGTTGTTGATCACCACTGTGTCCATGGAGGAGTATGTCTTTTCGGCGCCCGTGACGCGTCGTAGCACTGTGGAATTTATTTGGTGGCATTCCTCGTTGCGGGGACACAGTATGATTCTCCGAGCGAACTCGTCGACGTTGTCCAACGACATTTGCTGCGGATTGACGAAATCGGTCAAATCCACAACGTTGCAAACCAGTTGCGGTGGGATTTCGACAGTATCCGGAATACCATAGACCGTCGGCAGTTGACCGTTACCAAGCTGAAGTAGCCAAGCAGCGAAGTCGGCGTCGTTGTTGGCGCGCATGTTCCTTGTCAGCCGAAACTGTTCAAACTCTCTCCACAATGAGTGGCGTTTGATGGAGGACATGACGATGGAGCTCCTGTTCCCCCGGCGAACGACGGGCAATATCTGCCTGAAGTCGCCAGCTAACAGTATTGGTTTACCACCAAACGGTAGTGCCGATTGCATGATGTCCTTGAGCAAGCGATCGACCACTGTGAATTGTAGGCCCGGGGACATGGGCGCTTCGTCCCAGACAATCAGCGAAGCTTCGCGTATCCTTTGCGCGCGCAAAGACTGCAACTTGATGCTCGAAGTAGACTGTTCGGTCAGCGTTCCCAATGGCAATCCGAAAGTCGAGTGCACAGTCATGCCGCCCTCCATGAGGGATGCGGCGATCCCGGTGTATACCACTCTCAACACCGTTCGTTGTCTGTTACGAAGCGGGGATATTAGGCATCCGTATAGCGTCGTTTTTCCCGTGCCTCCTGGCCCGTCGACATAGAACATTTTCTGGACGTTGCGGTTGTCGTCGACGGCCGCCATCACTCGATCGTATACCGTTCGCTGTTCGTCGTTCAAGTCGCGCAATCGTTGTTGCCAGGCAACGGCCGCATCTATTGCACCGAGCATTGGATCGTTTTGATCTGGTCCCAGTAGATCGTCGTCTGGATTGGGTAGATCGTAGTCGTCGAGTGATTTTCCGCGTGCACGAAGTAGGTCTCCGATTGCTTTGAGACACGCCGCCCTCGCACGGTCTACGTTTTGGAAGCGCCGATTGAAGTCTTCCATCATGTTGACTTCAAACCGTCGGTACAGATCCGCGGGGTCCGCGGGATGGCAAAACAATAGTATCGTGACGTATAGATAACGCAGTTGAGTGGCTGTGTCCAACGCCGATGATTCTGTCATACACGCCCGCCACCCTTCGTCGTCTTCTAACAATCCCAACGCAATGGCGGCGGCTGCGTATGTGGCATGCACGACCCCGTTTACCGTCTTCAAGTCTTGGAAAGACCGCGGGCCTCTTCTGTGCAAGAGTAGTAGTCGTAGATGAAAACGGTCTCTATCCAGTGGGTTGACGACGTACATCCGAGCCAACGTCTCGCGAGGTGCCCGTATTCGCCGCAGTCTCCACTCTTTTGACGATACTTGCCAAGTGTAATGTATCGGTATCTCGTGGAACAGATACTGTCTTGCATCAACGCTTCTCTCGTTGAGCGCGAAGAACGCCGTGAGTTTTGTTCGAGGTAGGGCGTTGTTTTGTACCTCCTGTAGTTCCCGTCCACGCGCAAAGTACACGTTGTGGTAGTTTTCTAGGTGAACCGGAAGTCTAACTACCGTGTGACTGATGTCGTGTAGTTTATACGCAAACAACCTCCAGACGGCTTCCGGTGGGCTGACGTACCTCGAATTTATGTAACTGAAAACAACATTTATGTATGTATGTATCAAAAATATTTAGAACATAAAGTTAAGTAACATAAAGTTGTACAAAAAGAAATCAATAGTTATTTAAAATCTCATTATTTTACATATATAAAATATTGTCATGAGTAAAATGTCGTAATACTATTGTTTGTGATGTATATATAATAAACGTAATTATGTCAAAGTATAGTGTAACACTATTTTAGTGTTAATGAAGAAGAATACGATAAAATATTGTTTTTTGCATTTTAATTATATTCTATGTACATAAGTTAAGACATTAAGACTTAGTCTAAAAAGTGATAAAAGGCTTTCAAAAATCTAATTTATGTCTATAATAATTTATAAATGTTAATTAATAATATGCTGTAATTAATTTCTTAATAACATACTGTAGTGTTAGGTCATTGTAGTGTGAACAGAGAAATGCGTGTCAAATGAAACAAATGAATAATATATATATGAAATTTCTAATTTACAAAGTACCGGTTTCAATAATTTATATTATGCTGAACAGCTTTCCTAAAATGTCTTTACTATTGAGATGAGATGTGAGATGATTGAGTATTATATTTAGTTAAGCGAATTGAAATAATGAAAAATAATTGAAAATGATTTCAGTTATTGATTGAGGAGTACATATTATTATATGAATGATGATTGTGTTACACAGTTGTCAACTGGCCATGCTGATACTACTGTAATGAAATTTCAAATAATAGAAATCATGCATTAAGTGGGCAGTTGTTTTAAGCTAATATAAAGTTATATATTCAACAACAACTCTAAATTAATGAACCCCAGTAGTTTATACTCTGCTGTTCTATGTTGTGTTTATGTACAATAATTTAAGTTTACATAAGTTGCAAGTGCAATGTACGTTAGGTTAGGAGGTCACAGTGAGGCCAGAAAACCAAAAAGAACTTTACAATTAATGCTATAATAGTTGAAAGAATATAATGTGTTAACTTATGGAAAAATGCATTTTGATAACATACCTGTCTATTTCATTTCCGTTCCATAATTCCATGGTCGCAGCATCGTGCCCTTTATATACGTATTTATACAAATACTGAACACTCTTCACAGTGGAGCATACCTCAACATTAATGTGTGCATCGTATTTTGCTAAAAGGTACGGATTGTAAGGCACAACAAACTCGTTGCTGACCTGTTGATTTCTGACCCTGGCCACAGGTCCGTTGTTTGGCCGATAGTTCTTTGGGTAACCACCGTCAGAAATGTATACAGTCTCTTCGCTGTATTCTTTTGGAAACTTCTTTGAACAACTGTTGTCCACCATGCATGGGCTGTTTGGGTTCAGCGTGCCACACGGCCCGTGGATCATGTGTCTCGTCACACAATCGAATAGACGCGGAGCAGTCACCGGGTCTGGCAAGAAGGCGCACACTACATTGTCGACGTCGTCGGCAGTTAGCAACTTGCTACCCTCACTCAGAATGATCAGTATGTGGGCGTGCGGAAGTCCTCGTTTCTGAAACTCGACCGTATAAACATATGCATCGACATTACCAAATATATTGTTCACCGTTATGTCGCGCATCAGCTGCTTGAGTTTCGCGTTGAACACTCTGGACAACAGGTCCGGTCTGTCGGTTGCCGTGGCCCATCTTGGTAGGTTCTGTGTGATCTCTGGCCAGCTAGGATTACACGTAAACGTAATAAAAAGATTAGGCTTTCCACACTTACTCACAATGGCCATCGCGTCATGATAACACTGTTTCATGAAACGGGGACCACCTGTGAACGACGATGGCAAAATCATCCTACGGCCGACGCCCGCCACGGGTGCGTCAATTCGGAGCTGTTGGTTGATGTGATCCACAAGTCCCTGATACGATTCTGCGAAAAGCTCAGCTTGATGATATCTAATGTACATTAAGTTGTTCACTTCCATTCTAACGTAATGATCACCCACAAACTGTTGCAACAGATATCGACCATTATGTAATAAACTCATAGCATCGTGGATTGTGTCGTTGTTGCCATTGTAACGAATAGCAAGACGATAGCAAGTATACTCCCTGATACTGTTCCGATTGCGAACAGGGGTTCGGCGAGGGCCCTCTTGTATCAAACGTTGATGCCAACCCAGCTCTCCTCGTGGAAAGAGTAGGGGATACAGCATTGGATCCGCGTTTGAAGAGCCGGCTGGTATGGTCTGTAGTCGACGATGTTGCGGGTCAATTGGATTCCGGTCGTGGATCACCAGATCGACGTCTGTTGGTGGTTGACCGTCATCACTGACAAACACTACTGCGACTTCGTTGACCGTTTCAGGCGGTGGGTTGTATCGCCTCCTGTCCACATTTCCGTCGGCGACGAAATGCATTCTCACCCTCCTTGGAAGCAACTGAGGATCCCTGTCGGGAGCGTTTTCTCTAGCCCACACTTCTCGCATGGTTCTGTAATGAAGTAACACGGTCTTAGGATTTATTGTACAAAATTGAAATTTATGAATCGTTGTGTAATAGGTACATGTTTGTAGCGCATATATATGTGTATTGTTAATGTTCTCAGAAATGTCAACGTCAGAGTCCTATTTAATTAATCCTCACACATAATATCAACAAAGAGTGATGTGGTAGTGTAAAAAAATGACAGAGAATAGCATAATGCAAAATGTTAACTCTAAATTCTTCATAATGTATGAAATGGTCCAACTTCAAAATATCACTAAAATCAATATATTTGGGTTCTGGGCTTAGTAACCAAGTAAACTCAACATTTTTTTCCATACTGACCAACTTGTTATAGCGTATACCCGAAAAATCTACACCTGAAGTATCTTTTATAGCTTTAAAATCATTTGGATACATTTCATCAATAGTCTGAATATCTTCACTATCTTTTGTACTTTTAACTACACGAAACGTCTGTAACAGATATATTCTTGTGTCCATGAAGAAGCAGAGATACCATATGATGACACTTAGTACGACCAGTTGGACCAGTACAAGTAGCATAATCAATATCACTACCTTTGAAGAATATCTGTAGGTATATGAATAAGAGTAAATATTTATAATATATATTAGATCAAAATTAAATATATTATGTTCATATAGAATACCTACCTTAACATCATACAGTTTGTTTTTCATGGTAGCATGAACTTGGCCACTTAAAATTCCAACATCAGACAAATAATTAAAGCATACCACATGACCACTTTCAAATGAATTTTCTCCCTTCGAGAAAATCTTTTTGTCATCAATAAAATTAATTATGGTATGCGAAGTCATATTTTTAAATTACAAGAAAAAAATAAACCTACTCTATTTAATCAGGTACTTACACACATTTTTTTCACGAATTTGAAAGTTTTTAAGTACACAAAGTAACAAAAGTCAAACACTAGAATCTTCAACAATGCATCAACTCCTAAATTATGGATTAGGGTAGGAGAGAATTACACACTTCTTACAACCTCAACAGAAATTAAAAAATTAAAACTTATTTTATCAAAGACAATAAATAATTTATTTTAATAAAATTAAAACAATTATGGGATATATTGGGTACACTTAACTTTTATTTATTGAAGCAGTAGCTGGTAGTCTATACGCATTATTGCAGTTCAATATTTACTTTTATAAAATTCAATTTTCTGACGGATAAATACACCAATCTTCAAGGTTTTTGAATTAAAATTTGTAAAAACATGTATAATTTTAATAATGAATGGTCATTAGGTTAAGAATTGAACAGAAATATATTAAAAATGAATATCGAGTTCAAATTATTTCTTGCCTTTGTAATTTAAACGGGGTGAACCGTGATAACGGTTTGTTATGAACCGTTTGTAATTCTTATCACATATTCGTTATCAGACTATTTGTTCCTATAACGAACAAATGCGAGCTATAAATCCCTAGTTGGTTGCTGGTCGAGACATGCAGAGAACTATAATCCAACAATATTTCACATGATATTAACATATTAATTTATGTATATTTATGTATATTTGTTACATATTTTGTTTTGTTTATATATTTGTTTATTTTGTTTTATTACTTCTTAATTTTAGGTAGGTATAATAGAATATTAGATCAAGATTTTAATCATATCTATACCGATGCCTCCAAAACCTCTGTCGGAGTAGGATTCGCTTACTCTACAAACCACTCCTCAAAACGATTTAAGCTCCTCCCTGAAGCCAGCATATTCACAGCGGAAAGTGAAGCCGGAAACCCAAGCTATCAAAGAAGCCATAATGTTCGGAAAGTCAACATTATCAAATAAAATCTTAATAATCAGCGACTCCCTAAGCGCCCTTCTAGCAATCGAAGCACCGAACGCCTCTAATGAGATAATATGTCAAATACTAAATATCATCACATCGACCCATAAAGCAATCGAATTCATGTGGGTTCCCTCACATACGGGCATTCCTGGAAATGAAAAAGTAGATATACTAGCAAACGAGGCAATCACCTCGTCCTCATCCTCAACCATTACCACCCTCCCATACAAAGACGTCAAAAGATGTATAAATATACATACTTCCAATATGTGGCAAACATCCTGGGATGAAATACCAATCACCAATAAACTTAAATCGATTAAAAAGAAAGTCACTAAATGGTACACTCAGCCCAATGCCTCCAGACGATCCGAAATCATCAATACCAGAACAAGAATCGGCCATACCAATCTCACCCACATTCACATCATAAAACATGAATACATTACATACAATACATTGGCTCTCTGTAGCCAATGTAACGAACCGCTCTCAATCAAACATATAGTCTTAGACTGCCCGCTATATGTCAACGCAAGAAACATCCTTAACCAACCATCAACGATGGAGGAAGCTCTAGGAGAACACAACACGTCCATACCTTCTTCAAATTCATCGGCATTAACACAAAAATTTAATGTAAAGATAGAACTACACTGCTAAAAATATAATGTTAATATACAACATCACTGTAAAATCCATATATACCACAATTGTAACGTAAAATTAATTTAGAATTTAGTTATTTATTTGTATATTCACTAATTAACGATAATGTAATCACAACCACAGGCTAGACCTAGCTGTTGAAGCCTTTATTTTCAATAAAAAAAAAAAAAAAAAATAGAATAGAATAGAAGAAAGAATTAAGTATTTATTTATTTAAATGCATAACAATACTATTTAAGCTTTCTACCAGTTTGCTTTGCAAAGCCAGGCTTGCAGAATAATATTTTTGATTGTTTTCAATTTCAATTTCTTTCATAATAACTCTCCTTCAGTTTTACCAATTGTTCGCTAACATTGCCCAAGTGTGTAGTCGCTTCTACACTTTTGTTTTATCTTTGACTTTTATTCGACTTCAATTCACTAGCAATTGCTCCTTCAAAATGTTTGGTGGGTGGGGATCCCCTTGCCACAAAATACCTAGCTACCTTGGTGACTAGGTTTATGATAGAAAATATTAATACGTATACGAATATGTGTCTTACTTGTGTAAGACATAGGTACGTGCTAGTGTGCTACACTCACTCAACAGCATAACACCTGTTAATATTATAGAAGTAAATCAGTATGCCAAAAATATCGGTCTATCCAATGCAGACGGTTGTTGTTGGTCGGTTACAATGCATTATGATTACTATTATTAGGAAAACACAGATAAGCTGGTTCGTTTCTAGAAATTTGCTCAATGACCGCGATTAATTATACCCGCATAATAATATTGTTATTGGTGAATTATTAATATAAAACAGCTCGAGCGCTTGTTATCGTATTTGATTAAATACTATAAATATTTTTAATCAATATTCAATGGTAATACTTTGCTCGTAGTCCTTACTGCTGTCTGCTGTATATCCAATATTCCAGTGCGAGACGTGAGTGTGCGATTACGACATTTTCTCATTCTCATAAAGTCATAACACATCAATTATAATTTTGAAGCATTGTGACTTGTGACTTTTATGGTTTTCTAAAGTTTTATTTATTTTGATTTAATCATGTCTGACGACGAAGCATGTTTATGTGGTAAAAAAAAATTAACATAAATCCGACGAATTGGAAAAGGCATTTAAATGCGTGAAAAACGATAAAAAAAAAATTCATCTTCAAAATATCTAAATACATATTTTAAAAGATTTTTGAAGACTTCTAGCTCCAGTCACAAGTTTTAAATTATTTTAAAATAATTAATTTGGTCACCACTAGGTATAATAATAACATGATGATTTAAAATATACCATGTGTGTTACCAGTACGCGCGCGGGAAGTTAAACTTCTTTTGAATGGTACACGTGAGTGAGTGGAAAAGAAAGAAAAAAATATTAATTAATTTAAAAAATGAGAAGAAGTATCCGGAATTATTTATTATTGATAGTTTTATTATTATTTTTATATTTTTATTCGACAGATCGATGGGTAATTGTTTGTAGTATTGTTTTCATCCAGACAATAGATTTGTGAGTGAATACTAATAATAATAATAAAAATAAATAATAATTGATCATTAATTATTCATATAACAAATTTGGTTGCTCGTAAAAAATCACAACTCTTAAAAAAAAAAACAGTGAGTGTTGTTGAACACTCGGCAGGAACGAAGTTCAGTAAATGTGATGCGAGACGCGGAAACATATATGGTTAGAAAAATATAAATAAATAGTGATAGAGAGAGAGAGAGACAGAGAGAGAAATGAATGCTTGTATAAATATATCGCGCGCATGGTAATAAAATTATAATAAATTTTTCTGAGTATTATGAAAAAATGGTATTTTAATCATTATAAAAGTACAAAGCAATTATGAAATTAATCAGTAGGTCTAACGCGTCGACTGCGGCGCTGGCAGTCGCGGGTTCGCCTCTCGACCACTGGGCGGCATTTTTCTCCGGGCAAATCACGGCAGAAACCTACGGGTGCCCCAATAAAAATTCTGCCACCACAAACACACACGTGTACCAACCTACCCAATCTAAAAACCTACAGTTCCCTCCCAACACCCAATGGCCTATGTTGCCGCGGGTTATCCAATAAAAGGAAAAAAAAAAAAAACCTATTGATGGTTAAGTCAATTCTACTGAAAGAAATTTTAATAATGATACGGTTGATACAGCTTGTACTCGATTATCGTTTTTCAAAAGTAAATTTTAATTTCATTTGTTTAATAGATTTGTATGTATATAGAGAAGAAGGTAAATGGAAATCACAATGGAATATATAAATTTAAGGGGCAAAAATTATTTTGAAAATAAAATTCTTATCACTTTCCTTATCAATAAAAACAATATTTATGAAAATCCCAATAAATCCCATCAAAAACTCAAAACCCCGAGTTTCCCCTTGGCGAGGTTGGTGTTAGTACTCTCCCGGACCAAAATCCATCAAAAAAGCAAAATCCAAAAGGGGGGGAGGAGGTGCCCCCGTTCCCTAAAGCGGAAAACTGTAGTCTTCATAATAAGAATGGGTTCCACCTTGGTCCGAGGTCTTTAACTTGAATTCCGGCCGAGTTACACTCAACTCAAAATGTGGGGGGGGGTGGGGGCTTTGGTTCCCTAATGTTGAAAATTCATCTGGGGCCTAAAAAATTGAGATGCCCATTGGTCCGGGGTCTCTAAGTCGAATACCGGCTAAGTTATGCTTCGTCAAAAATAATTACTCGTTTAATGGGTCCCCCCCCCATTCCGCCCGACGGTCACCTCTACGCGCGTGACGACCGATGTTGGGTAGCCTACGCGAATGGAACCCGGTTGCCAGATGGTAAGATCCTAGTGGAGACATACGATAATATGAGAGGAGGGAGGGGATATGTAAGCCGGCAGCCGAGCAGAGCCGAGCCGAGCCGAGCAATTTTTCAGTGTTACGCTTTTCGGTGTTACGCTTTTTGGTGTTGCGATTTTTTTCCAGCGACTCCCATCCACCTAACGCCCCATAAGGAACTTCGTTCCAAAATTATGATTGTTGAACTCCTTTTGGGTGTAACTTGCTGGGGTAAGTGCAACTC